AGTAAGCTGAGTTGGTTGTTTGGTAGAGATCAAATCCCTTGACCCTTAACAAGATTTCAAATTTTAGTGGTTAGTGAGAAAATACCGAGGTAAAAACATCATACTTATTCAATTATCTAGATAAAATAATGGGTACATTCAGGCGGTGCCAGCGGCTAAGTTCAGCCACTCAACGAGAACTTTATTCTCGAAACAGGGAAGGAGCGTTCCCATTAGAACAAAGGTTCTGTCTTTGTCGTCCAGCATAACACTGGCAATGACAGAGCAATCGTTCTTTCTCATAAGAGTTCCCGCTGTTCCTTGGTTTCGAGAATAGAGTCCCTGCTGAGTGGCTGAGCTTAGCCGCTGGAACTGCCTGAATGTACCCATTGTTTCGAAAGCTCAAAATAACCGATTTGGGCGTGGCACCCCTAAAAATTTTCGCGCCTTCGGGCATTTACCTTTTTAAATTAGTGATTTGAACCAATATAACAATAACAAGCCCTTGCCTGTATGCACCCCCCTGAAACTAATCCTAGCGGCGCCCATGTCTGGTTATTAGTCGCTTCCTGTGTCAAACCTGTTTGGCACTGTGACATCTTTGCAGATAGTGTTTCTGTTTGCAAGGATGGGGTCTATTTCAATTTTGACCAGTCCGCCTGGGCTTCGCCACGTCCACTTCCTTTGAGTTTGTTTTTGGAAGGTGTTCATACAGTAGAATTTTTCGTTGTTTAAGAGGTTTACGAGCGTATTTCCTCGTTCGTTTCGTTGTCCCTGACCAAAGTTCCCTATGTAGCATGTATCACTTGGTTGTTTCTTTTCTACCTTGGCGTTAAAGTCCTCTGTAATAATTACATATTGAGTGTTTTCGAGGTTTCAGGCCCGTGTAATGTCTTCGTATACTTCTTCTATCATTTCGTTGGTCGCTGTACTTATAGGTGCGCAGTAGTGTATCTGTTGGATAGTGTATTTTTTGTTTAGGCTTATTACCAACCAAGTATATCACCCTGTTTGATATTGCTTGGTATTTATTAATAAGGTGTTTGAATTGATTGTTATCGATCACTCCCCCCTGGCTATAGTTGGTCTCTGAGTTGTTTTGAAACAGGTTGTGCCCAGAATTTAGAGTAGTTACTTTTTCTCCTTGCAACCATGTTTCGCAAAGCCCTACTTAATATTTCTCAGTTCTTCCTCTAGTTCTCTAAGTTCTCATCGTCCTTATATTATAATAATTAACAATGTAAATATGTAGTCTGTTTTGGTTTGTTGTTTTTCGTCGATCTCTTGCCTCCCTCAGAGTCCGTGAGGCTGCCCGATTTTATATCGGAATGGGATGCTATGAGGCTCGAGCTCTACCCATCTGGGGTAATCTTGTTTTGGATTTCGACTGTAACATGGTTTTTGGGAGGTTGATGGCAATTAAAACGCCACGCTTGCTAAGCGTGTTGGCGAGTGTTATCTCGGCCGCCCAATATGGGTACAGACACTGGTTGCAGTCGCTCATTTTGAGTCAGACGCTGCATGCACGCAGAGTAATTACCTAATCACAATTCATCGGTTGTCACAATTTCGCGTGATATGGAGATATTCACACATATTCAGCGTGCGTGATATAACGTCTGTTTCTGCAGAAATCAAAAAGCAGTTAGAGCGAATTTCATTGGTTGAAAACAATCAGAAAAAACGTTTTTTTTTTTCCTTCCTGGCTCTGAATTGGTACCTATCGAAAAAGTTTGCAACCAACTAAAAAAAACTCTGAGCCAAGAGAAGTTGGATGGTGCCACCCGTAGGTAGCTAGCACACCTGGCTTAAAAGTTATAGATACGCATGTAAAATGGGTCACTCTCAGCTGAGACACCCTGTATAATAATTAATAGGTTGGTGCTATAACTTTGGGCATTAAAAAAGTTACGACCAAATAAAAACCAGTGCGACCTTTTTGGTAACACTATCTCTAAGAATAGGGCAGGATTTCTAGAAGATACGCTTGCTTAGCCACCCTTTATAGCATATTAGGCTTATCTTGACTATTTATTTGCGAAATCGAAAACAAAAATTCCGATATGTAGCTTGCAGGGTGCGCTAACATCGATAATTAAAAGGCTTGTTTTATGATATCCGGACCCACTTTACTGGGTCACCCTGTATACTTAGAGATTTGGTGCAATGATGAAAAATGCTTATTTTTGCTAGAACTACAACATAGCGAATTTTTAAAAAAATCGACCGGTCTCCGAAAACCCATAAGATGTGTGCGATGTCCTTTAAAGTTGGTGTCAAATGATATTTTATGAAAAAATAGGAATAGAATAGGATATGATCGGTTTTGCTGTAAAATCAACCGTTTAGGTCTTACAGTCCGTCAAAGATGCAAAAAAGTCAATTTTCTACTGTCATTATTTCCGAAACAGTTGAAGTTAGGTATATGACATTATACATGAAATATGTCTAGAATTTTCCGCAGAATCCAGAAATGTCATAATATACAGGGTGTCCCATTTAAAAAAAAATATTTTTTTGTTTTTTAAACTTTTTGCAACACCCTGTATAAACTATGTTGTCTGAGAACTATTTTTCAAGCACTACAACTTTCCTATTTAATTTTTTTTTATACACAGTGGCACAAAAAAGTTAAGTTGATGGGAAAATATAAAAAATGACCCTGTACGTACCAATTGAATGAGGAAAAGAGACTTTCCGCATGATTGGGAACGTTATTTTTCTACAATCGTGCGGAATAGTAGTTTTCTGCACGCATTTTAGGGCATGAAAGTATCAGGATGACCTAACATTGCATAATTATTCTACTTTTCCATTTTCCAAACTAGTGCGGAAAAGTGATAGTTTCATGACCTAAAATGCCTGAAGAAAAAAAGCACTTTTCACACGATCGTAGAAAAAAAAATAAAAATAAAATATATATCGATATATTTAAAATATCGATGTTTTTCGTTTGATATATCAAATGTATCGATATGTTGTTTCGATTTATCATATTATGATTCGATATATCGATATATTTTTCTATTTTGCCATCCCTACCCGAAAGTGGTTTAAAAAACACGCTTCGGGCAAAAATATACCTATCCCGATGCCGTCAAAATAGTTATACAGGGTGTCCACTTAGTGCGATACCGGACGATATCTTCTTACAGGGTGATGCAAGAAAAAATAAATAAAAATTCAAAGTTGTTTGATTCTCTAAGGTGCATTACTTAAAAATATTTTATACAGGGTTCTCTGTAAATGTGGTATGCGACAGAACTTTATTATTTTTAAATGGAACACCCTATATTTTAGTACATTCTATCGTTTTAAAAATCCTACATACTTTTTGTTAGGAATCATCTATATCAAAACTCAACCGTTTTCAAAAAATACCTCCGCGCTCCTCATACGGAAAGTGTCATTTTAAAAACGACGTACGTTACTTACATTTAATTCATGGTCCTATGAAAATCTGTTGTTTACATTCTACAGGGTGTTCGCAATACTGTACACAAAACCAGACGTTTCAAACAACCATAGCACTATATAGTAGTAGGTACGCAAGGTTGTTTGAGAGAGGTAGGTTGCCTGATAACTTTATGACGTCATCTGGGGTGCCTCAACATAATGCAAATTTGCATAAAGCATCCCAGATGCGTCATCAAGTTACCCATTACCAAACAACCTATGAACTTTAAGAACCTTGGTAGGTACGTCGGTACTGGCGAGCCTATCATATTCATACGATAGCTTTAATCCTTTACTTTGTAAAACTTGTCTTTTGTTGAAATTTTCTTGTAATTAATAAATGTATAAAAAAAAATCTTTGTCTGGGGGGGGGGGTAATTACCCCCTCTACTCCCCCCTTTAAACCGCCCTTGGCGCCACGGCATGGAAGGTGGTTGAGTGTTGGGTGGTGCTCTCACTCTCTGTACCTGTGCTCTGTATCTTTGTAGGTACATAGCATACGTAAGGTGCATATTATACTTTTCTGAATTACAAATTCCATTATCTAAAATTAAATTTTCACCTTCTAAAATACAATTTCCTTTTTCTAAATTATAATTTACAGTTTCTGAATTTCAATCTTGCTTTTCTGAATTTCAATTTCCTAATCTGAATTTCATTTTCCCTATTCTGAAATTTAAGTTACAATTCTCAAATTCCAATTCTCTTTTCTGAATTACAAGTTCCTATTCTAAAATGGATGTTCCCTTCTCTGAAATTAAACTTTGATTTTCTGAATTACAATTGAAAAAGGTGTGGTGCGTAAAGTAAGGTCAATGACAGATGTTGACAACTGTCAATTTAATATTTTTCTGGTAAATTACTTCACGCACTAGTGCGTGAAGTGAAAATACTTCTTGCAATAGTTAGTACGTGAAATATTTGTATAAATCTATTTTTTAAACATATTTGATTGGTAATAGAAAAAAATTTGTATACATTACGTGCGTAAAGCTCCTTTTTTCACTCATGTAATTGTCGCACTTTGCACTTGCTTTCGGTTCGTGCGTCAAAATTCACATTCGTGAAAAAAGGTTCACTTTACACACTACACACTTGTTGCATAAATAACTATTTTTATCTCCTCATTAATTAAAAAATAAATTAAGAACTATTGGGATATACAGGGTGTTCCGAAATTAATGCACCAAATTGTTATGGCATATTTTACGTCGAAAATAAGCCCTAGTTACCTATATAAACATATGTCCGGAAACGCTTCCTTTCCGAGATACAGGGTGTTGAAATTCTAAGAAAAAAACCGGACATATGTTTATATAGATAACTAGGGCTTATTTTCGACGTAGAATATGCCATAAAAATTTGGTGCATTAATTTCGGAACACCCTGTATGTATTTATCTGCGATCTCCAAAATATGTAGGTAGGTAGTAGAGGTATGTAGGTAACTAATACAGTTTGTGTAAAATTTCAATTTCTTTTTACTGTTAATTTTAAGACAACGTTCTTGTGTTCATATCCTTTCACGACATGATCATTAAAGAGAAAAATAATTCTTGAACTTACCCTAAAGTTTAAAATTATTCATCATAACTTTTATATTGATCATCGTTTCTGAAAACACTTCAAATTTATACAAACAACGTTGACTTCACTTCTAATAATATTATGAGAATCACGTCTTCATTGCAATAATAAACTACTGTTGTTTTTCTCGCCGGTTGATTATAGTCGAGTAACAGTACTCGGTAAAAAAGACGGTCTTCCAAAGTAACAAGTAACGGCTTCGTTAAAGACCGTTCCACTTATCTGAAGAAGAAGGTCTACTTTTGTATGCTTCACCGTAGATGCAAAACTAATGCGCGTATTATCTATATATTAATTATTTTGTTATTGTTTATAGATGTAGGTATTAAACAGCTGATAATAGTTATTTATGATATAAGTGTTAAAAGTACATTTTTAAGGCACGCATGTGAAAGTTTGCAGAATGAGCGAAGCGAATTCTGCAATTCACATAAGTGCCTTAAAAATACTTTTAACACAAATATCATACAATATTTTTTCTACAAACGGCAATAACAAGCAATAACCAGTGACAAATTGGATTTTTAAATGAATAATAAATTGGAAGCATCTTTCCTACGTAAAATTATTGAATTTGATATTTGTCAAAAAATTCAAACAACCAGCACCTTGTTTTACAGGTAATGAAATGTCTCGTCAGTTTCTTGAAAGTCTGTCGTATGGTCTATCGTGGTCAGTAAGCTTTTTGCTAAAAATGCAACAAAATACACAAGAAAAAGAGGGTTGCATCAATCCCTTGAAAAATATAGAGGAGGCGGCCGATGGAGCTTCCTCAGTTGTTCAAATTTTACCATTAATATTAATGTAAATAATTAAAAATACAAACTTTTTTTGACGTTTGCTTTCAAATTTTGATGTTTCATTTTTAACACTAGTGCCTTAAAGACTTTTAACACTAGTGCAATAAAGTAACATTTTTAATGCTTCGAGGGGGTGTTAAAAATTGCATTTTTAACACGTTTGTAGAAAAAATAATTTTTAATTTTTCTAAAATAATTGATTTTTAACAAAAGAAATAGGTATTCTTTATTATTAGTATTTTGTATTTCAAATGTATGCCAAAAATATTACAGTTCTTAAGCTAGACAAAACCTACACTGAAAAAAATGTTAGTCTTGAACTAAAGTAGTCAACTCTTTTGATAAGGAATTATTAGCGACGAGAGAAAATATTTTCTTATGAAAGTATCTATTGCATTGCTTGGAGAAAAATGTTCAAGTAAAATAGTTCTCTTGAAAAAATCCAAAAATTCTCTTGACTGTTCCTTTCTTCAACCAAGTTTAATTTATGTTCTCTCAAGAGCTATGGAAATTATAGATAGGGAAGCTATTCATTCAAGAGACATTACATATTATATTTATTCTAATACAAACTTAACATCGCTTTTCCTAAAGCATTTCTAGGTCGTTAAGATGATTTGGTAAATGTGTGAAATTACACCTGTTTGTTTTTTTTTGTTTTTTTAATGTAGGTATCTATGTTGAATTGCAATATATTTATACCACCAAAGAATATTATAGACTAACGTCTCTAGAAGAACCGTCCGGCGGCGAAAATATAAACCTGCGTGATGGCGCTAGTGTCCTAGTAAAATCAGTCGTTTCTGCGATTAAATTAATTTAAAACACTAAATGCACGCGTATTTGCTAAGCTGCGTTGCCAAGTTGTCTTTTGTATAACAAATTAAATGCCTGTGTTTTATATAGGTACTTATTATACATATACCTACCATAGAATAGGAATATTTTATAATTTAAAAAAAATAATAAATAGGTAAATAGTTATGTATTTTTGTGGGTAGTAATTTTCTGTTACTAATAAATAGAGGAATAAAACACAAAAATTGTTTCTGTCTGTGTGTCTACCTATGTCCGTTATAGACTTTGAAACTATCCGATCGATGTGCCTCAAACCAGTTTAATGTTTAATATGAAAGGCAATAATAATAAGAAGGTTTTAGACCGCTAATGACAGGTGTCAACTGTCAAATTGAGACAGTTGCAGATTGAACCATATCTTCACAACGGATTTTGCTGAAATTTAGCATACACTTCAAGTTCAGGTGATTAGATGATAATACATTTTAGATCACTAATGACAGGTGTCAACTGTCAAATGTGACAGGTGCAGATTTTTGAACCATTATTTCGCAACGGATTTTGCTGAAATTTTGCATACACTTTAAGTTCGGATGATAATACATTTTAGACCACTGATGACAGGTGTTAACTGTCAAATGTAACAGATGCAGATTTGTGAACCATTTCTTTGCAATAGATTTTGCTGAAATTTTGCATACAGTTTAAGTTCGGATGATAATACAATTTGGAATACTCAACAGCTGTCAAATTTGAGGGGTGTTGCAGCACCATTTTTTGTTTTTTTGTGGAGTTTGATGGAAAGAAAATGAGACGCGTGTTAAAAAAAATTGATTTTTTTATGTCTGAAATTTCAAACAAACATATAGTTTGTTTCACGGCACGCAAGTTTTTACTTACGTCATCGATGACGTCATAACTTAGAGAAAAAGTTATGTCATAGATTAATTCATGGAGCACCTTCGGAATTATTGTTTTCTAATACATTTTTCAACTTAGAAGAGAATTTATTCAGTTACCCGAAAATATATAAATAAAATTTCTCCTAGAGTGATTTTTCACTGTAAATTTTTGAAATTTTCCTTCTGCCAGATTTCCAGAAAAAATTTAAAATTAAAAAAATGATTTTTTGTTAAAAGTTAGTTTTCCAGAATTTCTTCTGGAGTGATTTTTTACTGGAAAATTTTGAAATTTTTATACATACATATAATGAACTTCTCACTTTCCTCTTTCTCCTGTAAAAATTTCAAAATTTTTCTTCTGCTAGTTTTCCAAAAAAAAAAAAAATGTGAGAGGATGAATTTTCCTTAATTTTACTTGAAAAAGTCGATTTTCCAAGTGATTTCTCACTGGAAAATTTCGAAAGTTTCCTATAATGAGCTCCTTATTTTCTTCTTTCTCTTGGAAAAATTTCACAACTTTTGCTTTATTAGTTTTCCAGAAATAAATTGAAATGTGAGAGGATGAATTTTCCTTAATTTTGCTTAAATAAATCAATTTTCCAGAATTTTTCCTGAACTAATTTTTTACTGGAAAATTTTGAAATTTTGTTTTAATGAGATCCTCACTTTCTTCTTTTTTCTGAAAAATTTCCACAATTATCCTTTTGCCAGTTTTCTAGAAAAAAAATAAAATGTAAGAAAATGAATTTTGCTTAAAAAAGTCAATTTTTCCTTAGTTATTGCATTTTCGAAAAACTCATAATTTTCGTATTTCCCCCATAACTTTTTCGTAATTTTCCCATAACTTCAAAAATCATAATTTTTTCGTAATTCCCGTAATTTTTTGTACTTATTTTTAATTCTCGTAATTTTTTAAAAAACTTCGTTATTTTTAAATTCTCCCCAAGTTTTATAATTTTCATAATTTCAAAAATTCGTGATTTTCATAATTCCTATAATTTTTGTAATTCTCTTTATTTTTATAATTCCAGTAATTTTTCGTAATTCCTGCAATTTTCCGTAACTTTTCAAAAATTGCGAAAAAGTGAGTGTCAAAATTGCTGGAAAGTGACGTTGGAATTACGAAAAATAGAAGTAAAAATTACGGAAAAATGAGGTTGGAAATGTTGGAATTAGGCAATCCAACGACCTGTCCAAATGGCGTCTGGTTGGCAAACAATAAACAAAACACATATGTTTTTTTTTGGCAGGATTAAGCCTAGTACTCATAATTTGCTCTTTTTTGACATTGCATCGACAATTTGACGTTGAAAAAAGAGCGAATTTCGCTTTTATGAGTACCAGGCTTTATCAATACACGGGACGAGTTCTCAAATCTGACACTTTTCTGACATCGTTGACATGTAAAAACCCGTATTCTAACCTCATAAAAATTTCAAAATGCCGGCTGGTTGGCAAAAGTCACGTGGTTTGGATTCCCTAATTGCGAAAAAGTTGAGTAAAAATGGCGGAAAAGCAAGGTTATAATCGAGAAAAAATGAGGTTATAAATACGAAAAACAAAAGTAAAGATTATGGAAAAATTAGGTTGAAATTGCGGCAATGTGAGGCGAATATCGCGGAAAAGTGAGCTTATACTTATTGAAAAATGAGGAAAGAATAATGGAAAAGTGAGGCAAAATTCGCGGAAAATTTTGTTGAAATTGCGAGAAAGTGAGTTTGAACTTTGAAATTGCGGAAAAGTGAAGGTTAAATTGCGAAAAAAAATTGTTGAAAGCCGTTACTTCTCAAATAAATTTCCTTATTTTTATAATTTTTTCTTAGTTTTTGCAATTTTGGCAAAACTCCTAATTTTCGTAATTCTCATAACTTTTTCCTAATTTTCTTAATTTTTTGTAACTTTCCAAAATTCCCGTAATTTTTGAATAATTCCTGTTGTTTCTCAGATTTTCGTAGTTTTTTAATTTCTGTAATTTCTCAAAATATTCAGTTACCTACTTATTTTATAATTCCCCCTAAGTTTTTTTTACTTTCAAAAATTCGTAATTCTCGTAATTTTCAAAAATTTTTTATTGTGAATTTTCATTATTTCCGTAATTTCTCAGATAATTCTCCCTATTTCTATAATTCTTCCTTAGTCATTGCAATTCTTGGAAAACTCGTAATTTTCGTAATTCCCGTAACTTTTTCATAAATCCCGTAACTTACCAAAAATTATCGTAATTTTTTCGCAATTCTCGTGATTTTTCCTTATCTCTTCCAATCTTTATATTTCCTGTAGTTCCTTAAATTTTCGTAATTTTGTAATTCCCGTAATTTCTCAAAAAAACTCCGTTATCTTTATAATTCCCCCCCAGTTTGTTGTGATTCTCAAAAACTGGTAATTCCCGTATTTTTTTTTTCTTGGAATTTTCGAAAATTCTTAAATTCCCGTCATTTTTCAAAAAATTCTCGTTAATTTCATAATTCCCCTTTAGTTTTTGCAATTTTCGGAAAATTCGTGAATCCTGTAACTTTTTGTAATTCTTGTTATTTTCGTAATTTTTTGAAAATTGTCACAATTTTTTTAATTCTCGTGATTTTTTCGTATTTTTCATAATTTTTGAATAATTCCTGTAGTTTTCAGATTTCCGTAATTTTTTAATTCCTGTAATTTCTCAGAAAACTCCGTTATTTTCATAATTTTGAAATTATATAAGTCTCGTAATTTTCGTATTTTATTTTGGGAATTTTCGAAATCTTGTAATTCTTGTCATTTCTCAGATAAT